CTCTCTCTCTCTCTCTCTCTCTCTCTCTCTCTCTCTCTCTCTCTCTCCTACCTGGCTAGGGTCTGACTCTGTAGAAAGTATATCCAATCCTTTTCTGTACTCAGTGCCCAAGATGGTGGTGTGCCCAGGGGCAGAGGTAACCATGAAGGTGTGCCTAAGATATTGATGAGAGTGGTAGCAAAACAAGATAAAACCATGGATGTGACCAGAAAAGGAGTTTCCAGAGATCAGGTTAACCTTGAGTCCAGTCCCTGCCCCTCCTCAGCCTGGGCCTGGTCTCTAATATCCACAACCCTTGAACATCTGTGAGACACCTCACAGAGGCCAAAGAGGACTTAACCTCTCCATAAGTGATCCATATAAGCAAGGCAGAAAAAGGAGCATGAACCCCCAGTTCCTGGTTAGCCTCAGGATCTGCTGTTTCCAGATCTCCTCAGATGGGAGGAGGGAGGTCCCTGTCCTGCGTTAGGGGGGAGGGGGTTCATCTGCTCTCCTCTCAGCCCCCCACATTCATGCCCCCATACCTTGACTCCCATGGACGCCAGGGTTCCCTGGGGTCTGAGCAGCAGAATGTGGTTTAACTCAGTGTCTTACCAAGGCAACCCCTTAGGATGGCACCCTTCCCTCTAGGAGGCCTCGACCGGCCCCAAGCTGGGTCCTGGGCAGAAAGGAGTGAGGGTTTTGCTAGTGACAGGCAAGAGCCCTGCTACTGAAAAGGAATTAGAGAGACGGAAGGAAGATGACAGGAGCATTGTTCCCTCTCTGGGATCGGCCATAACCTCTGTGGACCCAGCCCCCACTCCCAACCCAGACTTTCTGTGAGGAAGGGCAGGAGCTTCAGCCTCGATTCTCCATCTGCAAGCCTTGTCAAGGGCCCCAGCCCCTGGGACGCTAAGATGACCAGACTGCCTCTGGAGCCTCAGTGTGTACTCCAGTTGGGCCCCTCTCTCCCTTCCTTACGCCTGTCAGTCACAGCACCCCTGTTCAGCCCAGGCTCCATGGTACTAGGTATGTGTGCGCTCAGGACTGAGGGGTACAGGAGCTGGACCACCTCTCTATTCAGTTGATGAAGGAGATGGTTAAGGCTCAGAGAGGGGCAGTTAGTAGCCCAAGGTCACACAGCAAGGCCCAGAAGCACTTAGATCTCCCACCTCCCAATCTCGTGCTCTCAGAGTCCTGAAGATAAGTATGGAGCGCTCGAAATGTCAGGGTGCAGACACTGCCCCCCATCCCTGACACGAGCATTCACACCCAGAGCCCCCTTACCTCCTAGACTTCAGAGGGCCTTACCTTAGAACCCACTCCTGGGCGGGGCGCTTGGGCCAGGCTAGACTAGGCTGGGCCAGGCTAATCAGGGCGGGTCCTCCGCTCCCCTACCGAGGGGTCCCAGACCGCAGGGATGCTGCTGCTACTGTGATGTCCAACTCCACCCACCCCGCTCCGCACAACCCTAGATGGACCTGGGCAGTGCAACTCTGCTGCGCGGTCTCAGGGTTGCGGGACGGAGCTGGGGGAGGGGTGAGGTGCGGGGAAACGGGGCGGAGCCAGAGCGGGGGCTACGCCGCGAGCTCCCAGTCGGGCCGCGTCCCCTTTAAGGCCAGCTGGTCCCAGAGCCGGCGGGGCGGGCCAGTAGTGGGCTGGCTCTCCGCGTAGCCTCCTGGGAGGTGGAGTCCGGGCGGGGAGCACGGCACAGGGATGAGTACAGAAGGGACTACAAGTCCCGGCTGCCAGCGCGCGGTCCGGGACGCCCCGCCCCTGCCCCCGCCCGGCTCACCCCCTAGCGAAGCTGCGCTGGCTGGAGGGGAGTCTGCCGAGCGAGGGCAGGAGGTGGGTGCGGTGCGCCGGGGTGAGGGGGAGGGCTCGAGGCCCAGCGGACCCATACGGGCCTCTCGGAGCACCTGTCCTGCCGTGAAAGGTCATCTGTCTCAGCCTTGCTGTTCTCATCTGTGAAATGGGGTAGCCCCGCCCGTGGCCGCGGGGGAGGGGTGCTCTTTGGGTTGGTGGGGGTGGACCGAACTATCTGAGGGGCGGGTCTGGAGAAAGGGACGCGCTGTGGGAGGAGCCTTTGGTGGATAGGGAGGGGGCGGGGTCTTTAGGTGAGAAGGGAGCCTCTTGTCTGATCAGAGGGGACCGGTTCCAGAGCTGAGGAGTGGGTGATGGGTTAGGTAGAGGAGCGCAAGGCGGACCACAGGGATGACAGGGACCCCTCCCAGCTCTTGTGAACCCAGGGCGTGTGGATACACACAGCACCGTGCTTTCTATGTAACTAGAAATAAAGAGGCCATTCCTGGAGTTCAGTGCGTCACACACATTCATTCTACTCTCACATCCCACAAGGCCTCACCATATCTGTCTCCAGTTAAGGAACACACTAAAGTGACTTGCCCCAAACGCCTTCAAAGACCCTGCCTTTCTCTACCCGAAGGGGAAACAGGTTTGGTCTGGGATAATAGGAAAGCAGTAAGCCTTCTGATGCCCCACCCATCCAAAGTTGTGCTTCAGGACCTGTGCCCCAGCACTTCCAATGCTACAAGGCAACCCTTCTATGGTATCTTCAGACTGGAGCTGTTTGAAAGCCCTTTGTTTTATAATTATCACTGTTGGGAGTAGTGGGAAGACCTCAAGAAGAGAAAGTTGAAAGGAGGTGTGGGTGCCTGAGGAAAACCACAGGATGAAGCAGGAGGGTGAGGAGGTGGCTAAGGAAAGTTCTGCCTGCTGATGAGGGGTGGTGTTGGGACCATCTTCAACAAAGCGTTTCTGTGCGAGCAAGGAAATGCCTCAGGCTGCGTGGTCTCTTCTTCCAGCCCACCGCCACCCCACCCTCACGGGCACAAATTCCAGTGTCCCTCGTGTGAACTGAGTGGAGAAGCCTGCAGGCCGGGACAGGGCAAGATGACAGTCAGCTGTTGGGTGTGAAAGGGTGAAGGGGAAGTCTGCAGGGCTCTGGGCCAAAGTCCTTAATCCTGGTGATCACCATGGGTGAGGCTGGGAGCTGCTAGTCGATCAGCGTCACTCACTTGAACATTGTCATCTTTGGAAATTTCCCGCTGCTCCTCTCTTCCCCTACACAGTGGAAACCTCCGTTGCCTTTGCAGCATGGCAGCAGCCAATTAGACAGTGCCTTACACAATCTGATTCCAAATTGAAGATTCAAGGGAGTATTTCAAAATGAAAAGTTTTAAAGTGTTTATCTCCAAGACAGGGACATAAATATTCCTGTTGATGAACAAGTCAGTCCTGGGAGGTGAATAACTCCAGCTAAACAAAGTAAAGAAAGTCTTCCCTACCCCCTGCCCAGAAGGAAGGCTAGGTGCCTACTTAGGTTAATTGTGTTATGTACTGAGCATAAAGCACTTAGAGTCAAAAAGGATGGTATGGATGCCACCTGTGAGGCCTGGATTTTCCTTCGAAAATCCTGGCCAAGGGGATGACTAGAAGACAAGTTGCAGAGGAAGGAAAGGCCTGTCCTGCTGGTCTATAAAGCTATTTCACGAGGCAGGGGTGGCCTTTAATCCCAGCACTTGGGCAACAGAAGCGGGTGGATCTCTGAGTTTGAGAAACAGGGCGGGCAAAGGGGGTAAGAATTAGCATGTTGAGTAGCTAACTATCTCAGTTTGAACTGCTGAGTCAGCCGGAAGCCTTATTCTCACGTCATGGTTTTCATGACCACCATCATCATCCCTCGCAGAGTCTACCACAAACACTGACTCTGGCCAAAGACCATATGCTGTCCTCTACCCCAGAAGCCCCACTGGTTCTCTCTGCCCATGCTCAACACACCTTGGCTGCAGAAGTATCTCTTCTGCACAACAGGAGTCTCCTTCCTGCCACTTAACAGCAGCAGATGCTAGCCTCAGCCAGCCATATCTCAAACCCTGGATCCCAGAACCGGAGAGGGGCAGGCTGATTCTCTAGGCCAAGTCTAATCTAGAAGGACTTCCCATTCAAAAAACTTCTCCAAGTTTGGTCCAAGCTCTTAGTCTCTAATTGCCAAACCTATAATAAATTCCAAGTGCAGCCTGCATCTGCCTGTCTGTGCTTGAACGCATTTCCCTTTGCAAAGACACACACATCTAACAACTTTAACTTAACAAGCCAAGCTTGGTAGCTTGTTCCCATAGTCCAAGCGACTCAGGATGCTGAGGCAGGAGGATCATTTGAGACTGAGAGCTCCAGACCAGCCAGGAAAGGGCAGCATAATGAAACCTGTCACACAAAAGAAAGGAAGAGAAATGGAAAGAGTGGGCTGAGAGAGGGAGGAAGAGAACATGAACATCTCAGCCAGGCATAGTGGCATGTGCCCTTGATCCCAGCACTTGGCACACTAAGAAGGAAGATGGCTTCTCTGCCAGCCTGGGGCACATAGTAAGACCTTGTCTAGAAATTTTCCTAAATTCTCCCATGTGTATCCATCTCATAAAAGTGGTGTTATTTTACATAATTGTAATCTTACCTTTGATATCACCAAATAAGCATTTGATATTAAGTTTTTTCCAGATTACCTGTCTCCAAAGCCTTTAGTTGTTACCTTTAATGATCCGATTTGGTCAAGGCCCACATATCGCATCCGGTAACATTTCTTTGAGCAAATCCTTTAATCTGAAAAGAGCTATCTCACTGTTTATATTTGATTAGTTCCTTAATGATTAGATCTTAGCTGTTTCAGTTACTGGCTTTTTGGTAATGTGGACTTCTGATCCCATCATTTTAGAAGGCAGATATCTGGGGTCTTCATGAAGCAATTTGGTTAGCGCTTAATGTCATGATGGCATAAGTAAGTCTCCACGGTTGCAGGGAAAATGTCTGTGACACATTCTCTAGACCAGTGGTTCTCAACCTGTAAGTCATGACCCTTTTGGGGGTCAAACGACTCTTTCATGGGCCACCTAAGACCATTGGAAAACACATATATGCATTCTGATTCCTAGCAGCAGCAAAATTACAGTTATGAAGTAGCAATGAGACGGGAGAGATGGCTCAGCGGTTAAGAGCACTGACTGCTCTTCCAGAGGTCCTGAGTTCAATTCCCAACAACCACATGGAGGCTCACAACCATCTGTAATGAGATCAGATGCCCTCTTCTGGTGTGTCTGAAGACAGCTACAGTGTACTCATATATATTAAATGAAGTAACAATGAAATAATTTCATGGTTGAGGGTCACCATAACATGAACAACTGTGGTAAAGGGTCACAGCATTGGGAAGGTAAAGAATCAGTGCTCTAGACTTTGTGTACCTTCTTTGCCATATCCATCGATGATCTGCCTGAATTGTAACACTGAAGGCTACAAAATGGTGTTTTTCTAATTGTACTATTCTTTCTGTATTAGTTGCTGTTCATTTTGAGTGGAGGAGTATGTTGATCAGGGTCTCCAGTAGCCCAGGCTGGCCCTGAACTCCTTCCTAGTCTTCCTGCCTCTACCTCCCAAGTACTGGAAAAACAGTCCTATAGCACTGTGGTGGTTGGTGGTAATTGTCCATGTGACAAAATCTAGATTCACCTGGGAGCCAGGCTTCTGGGCATGCTCTGGGAGACTATCTTGATTGATACAGGGTGATCTGTATTCGTTACTTTTCTTTTACTGTGATAAAACACCTTGACCAAGGCAATTTATAAAAGTGTTTGTTTGAGTTTATCCAAAGGGATGAGAGTCCATCTTGGCAGTAAGAAGAGCTGAGAGTTCACATCTTGAACTGCAAGTAGGAAGCAGAGAGAACAGTCTGGGAAAGGTGCATAACTTTTAAAACCCCAAAGCCTGCCCCAAGTGTCCTCCAGCACACCGCCTAAATCGCCCAAACAATACCACCACCTGAAGACCAAATATTCAAACACCTGAGCCTACGGAAGACATTCTCATTCAAACCACCACAAGACTGATGTTTCTAGTTTGTTTGTTTTGGGGGGGCGGGTGTTGTTGTTTTTCCAAGACAGGGTCTCACCGTAGCTCTGTATGTCTCTGGCTATCATGGAACTATTTCAACTAGCTAGCCTTAAACTCAAGGGGATTTGCCTCCCTCTGCCTCCTGAGTGCTGGGATCAAAAGTATGTGCCACTCCACCCAGCCACAGACTGTCTTAGCAATGGGTAGGACCATTCCCTGACACACAAATGGAGAGAGGGAACTGAGTGTTTGCTGCCCTCTGCTTCTTGACTGTAGATGAGTGTGACCATGTGAGTGCCTCCTCAGTGTGACCGTGTGGTGTGCCACAAACCCCTGCCGGCCTTGACGCCCCTGTTTGTGATGGGCTGCCCCTGAAACAGTTATCTAGAACAGGCTTCTCTCTTGAGTTTTTTTTTGGGGGGGGGGTTATTTTTATTTATTTATTTATTTTTGGTTAGGATGTTTTATCACAGCAGCAGGAAAAGAAGCTAAGACAGCAGCAGGGCCCGCCCACCGCCTGGTGTTCCTTTTTATAGAATAGCATCTTCTTCTCTCTCCCTGTTCCCTCCTCACCCCCTCTTCTCTGTTTGCAGATACATTAAATTTTTCCAATGTGCTGAAATCTATTATTTTTTTTTGCTATTCAAATTATATTAAATCTGTCCTTGAGGCCAGCTTCTATATGCTTATAACATGAACTTATTAGTCTTTCTTCTTTATTATCTGGCAAAAGAAGTTCCAGGCCCACCTGGAACTTTTCCTTAAAACAGCCAGGAGCTGTCTATTTCTCTAGGAAGTTCTAGTTTCTTCTTCTTCTTCTTTTTTTTTTTTTTTTGGTTTTTTTTTTTTTTTTTTTTTTTATAGGGTTTCTCTGTGTAGCCCTGGGTGTCCTGGAACTCACTCTGTAGACCAGGCTGGCCTCGAACTCAGAAATCCACCTGCCT